TCAGGATCTTTTTCAAAATTCCTTAAATATCATTATTTTAGAAATAATTAAGGAAAAACCAAATTCCTTTTTTTTTAAATCTTATTTTGTTTATAACAATCGCAATTTTTTATGTGCTATTAAGCCCTTAAAAAACATTTTTGTAGACATCATTCCGCATCCAATGAGCTATCGTACATATTTTTAGGAGCTTTATGTCTAATTAACACGTTTTTGAACTTGTTGACTAGACTATAACGGCTCAGACAGGAGGGGTAGGATTGCTAACAGCTGCCCGAGCGCTTCTGTAGCAGAACTAACAACTCAAGAGCAGCTGCTTCGCGATTGAATCTACTACCGGATCAGAATCGCGACTCGCTGAAAAGATCTTGCAAAAAATTCAGCGGGCTGCTGCATGGGTTAGGTTGCACGTCGAACTCTTTACCGAGTTCGATGAGTACGGTTACCGGGGTCCCTAAGCCTGCTCCTAGTGTTAGAGCTGAAGGCGTCGAGAAAAATGCTATACAACGTTGTTTAAAACACTCCAAAATGTTTTAGAAACATCTACGCGAATAAAGGAGATGCAATCGATTCATGGTTAAATTCAAATTAATATTTGGCATCAAGAGAAACTTGATAGTATTATCTTATAAATTAAATATTATCTTAAATATGTAGTGCTATGCTAAAATATTCATCACAAATGAAAAGTGATTACAATCCGAATTATTTCAACTTAATGTGTCGCTACGCCAGTGTTGGGTTTTTCCTTCATTATTTTTGTTATCCATTTTATTATATTATTTCATCATTATTATTAAATTTTTACTATTTAAAATTATTATAGCCTATGTACATAATTTGTTTGAAGAAAAGTCAGAAACGAATGTAATATTATTATGTATTTATACTAGATGATGAAATTTTTTTTGATAACGCCATCTTGTTGTGTCTTTAAAGCGATTAGTTGACCTCAATTAAGAAAAATAGTATTATTATTCGCCAATAGATGTCGGGAAGAGTTGATTATTGAAAATACGAATAAAACAACATTTTCTGAAAATAAATCGTAACTAGATCGATTTATCGCCCCCGAAATCTCCTGTATGCGAAATTTTATGAAAATCGTTGGAGCCGTTTCCGAAATTCAGATTATATACATATATATATTCATATACAAGAATTGCTCGTTTAAAGGTATAAGATAAGATAAGATAAGATTCTGTGTAAAAACAAAAATCGTTTCAGACTTTGAGAGCACTCCGTGTACAGAACCCGAGCCCCCGAAATCTGAACCAAAGATTATGAAATTAACGTACGACGAACCAAATTATAGAGAAGCAGACTGTGAGCCGAATTGCGGAAGACCGAAATCTTGGTCGACTACAAGGAAAGGTGAAACCAGAGACTTTTATAGAGTGCTACAATAAAAACGTAATCGATTAAGAAATGCTTTTAAAGTTACTTTTAAAACTAGTGAGTGATTTAGCGAATATTGGAATCTTTTTTTTATTTTTTTTATTGCTTAGATGGGTGGACGAGCTCACAGCCCACCTGATGTTAAGTGGTTACTGGAGCCCATAGACATTTACAACGTAAATCGCCATCCACCTTGAGATATAAGTTCTAAGATCTCAGTATAGTTACAACGGCTGCCCTACCCTTCAAACCAAAACGCATTACTGCTTCACGGCAGAAATAGGCGGGGCGGTGGTACCTATCCGTGCGGACTCACAAGAGGTCCTACCACCAGTAATTACGCAAATTATAATTTTGCGGGTTTGATTTTTATTGCACGATGTTATTCCTTTACCGTGGAAGTCAATCGTGAACATTTGATAAGTACGTATTTCATTAGAAAAATTGGTACCCGCCTGCGGGATTCGAACACCGGTACATCGCTCGATACGAATGCACCGGACGTCTTATCCTTTAGGCCACGACGACTTCGACTAATCTGTTTCTTAACCTCCTTTTTTGAGCTGCAGAACTTCCCTAATAAATTTGCTGACATTAACTTAAAACCAATGTTATATGAAGGCATTGAGTTATAAAGCGAAAATTCATGAATGCTAAAACTTAGTATTTTCTAGATTATAGTTTAAATTCACTGAGCCAAGGCTTCGAGGATATCGAATATAGAGAATATCGGGGATATCAAACATCGAATTTTATATATTTCAGTATTGATATTCATTAGGCTTTCGTTGCCGCTTGACCGACAAATACATACTCGTATATCGAGGGGTGAAAAGCCATTTAGTTTAAGTGACGTTGTTGCTACTGTTCAGGAGAGCCGTTTGAAGTTTACAATTTGTAAAAAATATCATAAACCTATTCAGCTATTTAAATAAACTAAACCTTTTTTTTTATTGCTTAGATGGATGGACGAGCTCACAGCCCACCTGGTGTTAAGTGGTTACTGGAGCCCATAGACATCTACAACGTAAATGCGCCACCCACCTCGAGATATAAGTTCTAAGATCTCAGTATAGCTACAATGGCTACCCCACCCTTCGAACCGAAACGCATTACTGCTTCACGGCGGAAATAGGCGGGGTGGTGGTACCTACCCGTGCGGACTCCCAAGAGGTCCTACCACCAATCCCAAGAGGTCCTACCACCAAACTTAATTAATTGAAGCTCAATTAAAAACATCGAATTGTTGATGTTGATACCAAATAAAACGCACCATTAATTGCAAAGATAAATGTCGCGTAACAAGTGATATGTCGCTTAAACTAAATAGTCATTACATCCCTCGAATATGATTGTTCCGATTTTTTTCCTACCTAAGCTGATCGTCTTGAGAAACCATTTCAGCGTGACCTTAAGTAGTAGGTGAGCTCACGAGGCTCAAACCTGACGTCGTTGCTAACACTAACCATAGCAAGAGCAGTGCTTCGCAGAATCTACCAACGGATCAGAAACGCGACCCACTGAGAAGATCCAACGATGGATACTGCCATCCACCTTGAGATATGAGTTTCATTATCACGGATCGTTTGAAACCTCTGGGTCTGCGGAGGGACTTCGGTTCCCTCTGTATTTTGTACCGTATGTTTCATGGGGAGTGCTCTGAGGAATTGTTTGAGATGTTACCATCATCTCGTTTTACCATCGCACCGTCGGCCACCGGAGTAGAGTTCATCAATACTACTTGGAGCCACTGTGGTCATCCACAGTGTGTTTCCAGAGATCTTTTTTGCCATGTACCATCTGGCTTTTGGAATGAATTCCCTCCACGGTGCTTCCCGAGCACTATGACATGTCCTTCTTCAAACGAGGCTTGTGGAGAGTAAACGGTAGGCAGCGGCTTGGCTCTACCCTTGGCATTGCTGACGTCCATGAGCGACGATGACCACTCACCATCAGGTGGATTGTATGCTCGTCTGCCTACAAAGGCAATAAAAAAAGGTAGTTTTTCTTGAGGCACAAAGCTGGTGACCGGATTCTTGTGGCCCGCAGTGGTAGGTACCACGACTCCGCCTATTTCTGTCGTGACCTATTGACTGTGATCTGACGTATTTCACAGAGCTGTAATCATTTTTAATAATACGTGAAGCAAAAACTTTCCATCCCTTTTTACGAAAATTGCGTGGACGGAGGAGTATGAAATTTTCCACACTTATACAGACTATAGAGAAGAAGTGCACAATGCTAATATTTTTTTTAAATAATGCATAAAAAATACATTAAATCAATAAAGAAAACATTACACACACTACATACCATGTATTTGACGCTGACACGCATGCATACTATTTATTGTCAAACTTTTGTTCTTGACGTCTGTTGTCAAATTGAGAATAGAATATGGATTGTCTTTGTTAATATTTTTATAGTCTAGTCTTGGCGAAATTTGTGATTATAGAAGTATAAAATACAATCATAATAGTGTACAAACTTACAATTCCAATTAATTATAGTCGAATTTCGACTACTGCGGGACCACTAGTCATATTTAATTTGAAACTAGTGAATAAAAACAATATTTTCAAAAACAATTTCTTATTGACTTTTAACAATTACTTAACTTAACACAGTATTTTATTTATTTTTTACTTTACGCTGATTTTATATAATCAAAAAATAAAGTAGAAATGAAATCAGGTCTAAAGTATTAAAAAGTAATCCTTATAATATAGACTAACTAATAATCTCACAAATTTGATAAGACTCAAAACTTTAAAATACAATCTTTACTAAAATCATAAAAAAAATAGTATGTATTACTTTTAAAACAAATTTTACGGGTGCATGCAAGTTCATGAAAAATGTCTTCAATCTTTTCCTCACATATGGCAGGATGAAACAAAGCAAAGCAACAAAACATCCGATTTTTTTATCGAGCTAATTTTTCGGGATTGATTTACTGGTAGTAGGACCTCTTGTGAATCCGCACGGGTAGGTACCACCACCCTGCCTATTTCTGCCGTGAAGCAGTAATGCGTTTCAGTTTGAAGGGTGGGGCAGCCGTTGTAACTATACTGAGACATTAGAACTTATATCTCAAGGTGTGTGGCGCATTTACGTTGTAGATGTCTATGGGTTCCAGTAACCATTTAACACCAGGTGGGCTGTGAGCTCGTCCACACATCTAGGCAACAAAAAAAAAGATCGAATAGAATTTATTAGACTTCCTTTGCGAAAACGACTGAGTGTGGAGATATGTCTATAAGGCTGTGGAAAACAACCGCTTGCGTTTTAAAATCTTCGAATACAGCTTCTGGTCTATGTGATAATTAGAGCAATTAGGTCAATGGTTCGAATTAGGATTGAATGAAAAGTAAACTTAACAGCGGTAAAGCTGATATGTGCCTGTTTACAAAGTGACACTTTCGACATTATGGTTCTGATTTCGAGCGTTTATCGTATACATGCCAGTCTCGAGATATATGGAATTTAATGCCAATTTATGAAAACATAATATATTTAATCAACCATGATTCCATAAAGTTTACAAATTTATTAATTTATTGAGCAACGATTATTTTTAACAACTTTACGTGAAATGCTATTTAACTTTTAGTGACTAGCATAGGTTTGGTGGATTCGTTATTAAGATCCCTCTTCTGTCTGAAAGCGTTGATGAGAAAATCATCAGCAAATATGATTTTATCGCTCTTGTAAAATGCTTCGATTTCTTCTAAGCTCTTCAGTTCTGTTTCCGGTAAAAAGAAGTAAAGGTAAATTGTTCCTATAAATGCAAATGTGGCGTAAACTGCGAAAGCGCCGCTAAGGTGGAAAGCCTTTTCTAGATTATAATTGCTTTTTGTAGCAATGAAGACAATTACGTAACTAACGGCCGCTGACATTCCAATTGCTACACCACGACTCCTGGAAATAAGGATCAAATTAATCGAACGTAGTGACATCATTCGGGATATTTCAAAACTAAACACAATTCTTTTTTATGTAGTTTATATGTAAAATCATAGATGGCTGTAGTTGTAGTTTTAGTGTCTTACCTAAATGGAAAAACTTCGGATAGCAACACCCACGGAATACCAAGGCTGCTGAAGCATACCAGCGTCATAAACAATATAACAGGCAGCAGTTCTTTATGATCCGTGAAAGTTTCGACCTCGTATGAGAACACTTCAGCGGGTATCCGAAGTTTCGCGTAAATACTAATGCCCAAACTGGCGAAGCCTGTTGATAACAGTGATCCGAGGATCAACTTCCTTTTGCCGATGATCTTGACTATCGACGCTGAGACCAGACTCAGTAAAATGTACATAGCGCCAACTACCACCTGTAAAGTAAAATTATTTGTAGTTGCTTTATTTATCTTGTGCTTTAGACGTACTTTAATCTCGCATATACCTAATATAAATAACAATATGAATTCCGAACAAAAAAAATGAAGACAGCTGATCTCGCCAGCGAATAGCCTCCCGGGGGAAGATTTTACGTAGTCTTTAGGATATTCTTGTGATCTGTGTGCTTAGTGCGAGTTTTTTAACGTTCTCGATAACGTAAAAGTTAAATCAAATTTGTATGGAGTTAGAACAATCACCTACGTTTGCCGCTAGGGGCGCTGTTTTTTTTTTTTTTTTTTTTTTTTTATTGCTTAGATGGGTGGACGAGCTCACAGCCCACCTGGTGTTAAGTGGTTACTGGAGCCCATAGACATCCACAACGTAAATGCGCCACCCACCTTGAGATACAAGTTCTAAGGTCTCAAGTATAGTAACGACGGCTGCCCCACCCTTCAAACCGAAACGCATTACTGCTTCACGGCAGAAATAGGCAGGGTGGTGGTACCCACCCGCGTGGACTCACAAGAGGTCCTACCACCAGTAAAATTCAATGTAAAATTCAAATAAAATGTTTCAACTGCATACAAATTTGAGTTACTTTTACGCTATCGAGAACGTTAAAACACACACAATAAACACACTCTATAGAGCTGAGACTGAAGTATTTTGTATAAACACATTACCTGTAAAAAATACTATACTATACCACAACGAGCCAGTTTTTATAAAAAAATTGGAAACATGCTTTATAGTTAGATCGTAATAAAAGATAAATTTGTGAGTTATCGTCTTCCAGGAACGTGGTTGTGAAATAACTGTTTAATTCATCGAATTGCTGGTTGATCCGATCTTATTTACAATTCTTATTTAACCTGTTTCGATAACTGGTAACCGTTCTTTTTTTTGTTATTTAGTATCTATCGTAAAAAGTAATATTTTATCTAAACATTTACCGGTAACGTGTTTTGTGAACTTGTTTGGAATTTCAGGTTACTATAACAGATTCAGATTGATAAATAGCAGTTTTAATAAATAGCTCAAAAGGTGAACATCGGTCAATATTCTTTGAACTATAATACAATATTATTAAAGTCAGTTTAATCAAAGAATAATAAATAACTGGAATAAATTTCAAATCAATTCTCATGTTAATATTGAATAATTTTTTATTACAATATCATTTTTGATCTGGAATTGAATGGTATCACTCCCTCTTTAACTCGAATCTCGTCTTGAATATTCGCTTGATTTTGATCAAAATTAATTTTCTCCTAACATACGGATTTTTATCATACTTCATTTTTGGAACGAAGTTCCTTATCGCGCGTTGTGAAAGGGGGCTAGACGGAAAAAATTCTTACGAAAAGTTGTCACGACACTTTTTAGATCCCTCATTCTGACCAATCAACGTGTAGGCGCTTATCGCGTGACATTGCTCGTATCCGATTGGTCCGCGTAATGAGTACAGTTTCTCGAGATAGCGTCTCAACAATAGTAATTTAGTTCATAGTATTGTTTTTTTCTTCTTCATAATGCCGTAATTTATTATTATAACTTAAAAAAAAAATTACAATTCCTTCACTAAGTAATCGAAAGGAACTTCGTTCCATCCGGGTGTCCCTTGACACCTCTGAAGTTTTTTTTCTCCCTAAATCAATAAAACGAACAAATTCCATATATTTATGTAATATAGAGTGCAATTTCGAAAAAACGTTAATACATAATTGTTTATTGAAATTTTTACTAATTTAGTTTTTTCATTATTACGATCTGTTTAGGATCTAGATAGAAAAACATAGCCCACTGAGTTTCTCGTTGGATCTTCTCAGTGGGTCGCGTTTCCGATCCGGTGGTAGATTCTGCGAAGCACTGCTCTTGCTAGGGTCAATGTTAGCAACACTCCGGTTTGAGCCCCGTGAGCTCACCTACACGTTAGGGTGAAGCTGAAATAGCCTCTCAAGGCTATCTGCATAGGAAAAAAAATATTGAAAAACTAAGTTTAGACAAGTTTCTTAACAGTCTTACTCTTCGATAAAGATCTAATACGTCATTAACATTAGCCAGTGATCGACCAGTTTTTTTTTTGAACGTGACTTCATTCAAGAGTTAAAAGTCGTTCCGAATTTGTATTCATTTATTTCTAAAGTGTTCAACTCTATGTGAATTATGTTGAAACTAGGAAATGTTTTTTTTTCTAATTGTACATAACGACGATGTCCCTGACCATATTAACTGTTTAAGTATTGAAGATGTAACGATATTTTATCTTATCTAATATTTAAAAATCGATGTTTGTGCCAATAAATACTAGTCGATCTTTTAAATGTATAGGTGTTCTAAGATCCATCACGGAATTGTTATAAAGTAGATATTCGTCTCAAGTTTCATTGATTTGTTCTATTGCATAGCTTCTATCGCGGGCCTTGAGCACGGCGACTGAATCAATAAATTCCGTAACGAAAATAACCTGACACCCCCACTACGCCTACTATGTAGCTCGCGTTCAACACCTTCACACGTTGCGCTGGTGTAGTGTTTGTGAATAAGCGCGCGGCGTGACGTCGCACTGCATGAGCTTCATGAAAAGTCTGCCCATCTCTCTCTCACGCGGTCTAGCTTATGAGTGTGAAGGGGACAGTTAATGTTTTGCTTTTGTTAATGTTTATAAATATAGCGTGGTCTTATTTTTATTATTGTTTTAATGTTAAATTATTATTGTCTAATTGTAATTGCATAAGTTGATAAAAAATGCTTTGCAATAGCTTTACCGCTGCAGACCCCGAGGGCCATACGTCTTTTTTTTAATTTACTATTTGTATAACTTCAAATTTGAAGTGCGTAAAAGTTGAAGAAGTTGAGCTGATCAACCATGGTGAAGACTTATATGAGCTACAATGGTACCCCATAGTACAGCAACAAAACTGAACAGACTTTTCGACATAGCCTAGTAATGTAGATCTGTTTCTTCGTTCTAGTTCTAGGGAACTTAAGTAACTTTACTGCATCGTAACAAATATATACCTAGTCGAAAAAGTACAAACTTTGAGTTTATTGTCAATTCTTCTCAGCGATATGACTGTATTCCGAATATAAGGTAAGTCATGGCACTTTGAACCCGCCTATGGAGGACTGGATTAAATAAAAAACTTATAGAATTTGTTGTTTGTAGATTTTCGATAGTTTTTTTCCGAAATAAGAATGTTCTATTCTGTTATTTCCTTAAGTATAAATGTCAGTTCAATTAAATAGTCTGATTCTTTCTAATTACCTTTCAGATAAGAAAAAGTAAAAAAAAATATTTTTGAATAACAAAAAGTAACCAAAATCCTTGAGAATTAAAAGAATTGTGGCTATCAGATATCTAATATAAACGTGAGATTTTCCACCGGATAAGCCTTTTCTTCCATTGATAGATCGACAAACTATTGTTGTTGAGGTTTACGTGAAAATTCTGTACTTACAACAATTGACTTTGAGTCGTATTTCATTCCTAAAGCCTTGCAAACGTTAACCATGTTCGGTCTGATTGGGGCCAGTCCACTCAACGTGTGAAACAAGAAATACGAAACGACCAACATAAAGGGGCGTATCGTTTCTTTGACCAAAAACACGTTCTTAATTTTAAAGGCAGTCTTCTTAAAGAATCCACCCGCCTTGTGCTGACAGACGCCTAAGTCTTCTTCCTCGTTCGTACAAGTAACGCATTTATATAATTTGTCATGGTATTGAATTAATTGTTCGAATTCTTCCTTAACGTCTTCCGGCTTAGCCCAACCTCGGAGACGGCAAAGAGATTCTTGTGCTTCCTTGTGTAGACCCTTTGAAAGTAGCCATATCGGAGTTTCCGGTACCTGAAATTAAGATTTTTTTTTGTCTTTAATGAAAGAAAACTGGAATGATAAATTTTAATGGTGTACTGCAGCGGTCGGGGAACCGGGGTAAATTACCCCGATTGGGGTAAAATGAAATTTTGGGGAGTAAAAATGAAACTTTTGTGAGTAAAAAAAGTGTGAGCCGTCACGGGACGCCTGGCAGATGTGAAACACCGACATTATCTTGTAAAAGTAATATGCAGAAAAGAACAGATTGTGATAGGAACTAAATATGTCATAATGATATAATAAAATATTACGAAAAAATAATTTGTTTTCAAGTCGTCGTGGCCTAAGCGATAAGACGCTCGGTGCATTTGTGTTGAGCGATGTACCGGTGTTCGAATCTCAGGCGGGTACCAATTTTTCTAATGAAATACGTACTCAGCAAATGTTCACGATTGACTTCCACGGTGAAGGAATAACATCGTGTAATAAAATCAAACCCGCAAAATTATAATTTGCGTAATTACTGGTGGTAGGATCTCTTGTGAATCCGCGCGGGTGAGTACCACCACCCTGCCTATTTCAGCCGTGAAGCAGTAATGCATTTCGGTTTGAAGGGTGGGGCAGCCGTTGTAACTATACTGAGACCCTTAAAACTTACTTCTCAAGGTGGGTAGCGCATTTACGTTGTAGATGTCTATGGGCTCCAGTAACCACTTAACACCAGGTGGGCTGTGAGCTCGTCCACNCTCTTGTGAGTCCGCGCGGGTGAGTACCACCACCCTGCCTATTTCAGCCGTGAAGCAGTAATGCATTTCGGTTTGAAGGGTGGGGCAGCCGTTGTAACTATACTGAGACCCTTAAAACTTACTTCTCAAGGTGGGTAGCGCATTTACGTTGTAGATGTCTATGGGCTCCAGTAACCACTTAACACCAGGTGGGCTGTGAGCTCGTCCACCCATCTAAGCAATAAAAAAAGAAAAGTAAAACACAGGTTATGTGTACTGTAGTAAACAACACTGTATACACTATAGGTATCTGAGCTCAGTGTAGCGAGAGAGATGGCTTAACGCCGGATCGAGTGGGAGAGAATAGTACAGTCGATTGCGCATGGCGACGCGTCGCCACACCGTACACACTACTGCATATAGACCATCATATAGCGTGGTGACGCGTCGCCACGGCATGCGTCGCCACGCCAGAAATCGGTTTTACGTGCGACTATAGATGTTTCACATCAAAAGTATATATTGAAGTGAAACTTCTTTAGAATCTTTGTAATTTTAAATTATCATGGGGGCTATAATATGAAAGATGCTAAAAGGAAGCGATTTCGTTTTTTTTTTGTTCTTCGCTATGGGGTAATATAAACTTACACAAAAATATATTATGTTGGGGTAATAATTAAAAAAGTTCCCCGACCGCTGGTGTATAATTGGAATGGTGTCTTTCCCGAAACTAAAATAGCTAACAATTCCAAATATAGAAACAAACAATCGTAATGTAAAAATTACAATTTTTACTCAATTAAATACAATGTAAAAAAAATACAATGAAATTAATTTTTGTTTGATTTTCGGTATTTGCTCGTGATTGTAACACAGAGTATACATGTGCGACGAACAGTCGCAGTAAGCGGTTCTTGTTGCATTTGTGTATTTCAGGTACATATAACATTATAGATAATTCCAGAAAGGGAGTCATTTAGAACGTAAAGTGACTTAAAATAAAAAAGCTCCTTAAAAAGTCATCATTAATGACAGTTATAATCATCGTCATTCCGAAAAGATACGTCAAGAAATTAACATTTAAAGGCACAAAACTCGAAAGACATTAAAAAACGCATTCGAACTTCAAACTAATTTTCAAGTAAACATATTATGACTGTGGGATGAAACAAAAGAAAAGACCTTTACGGAATGTGACCGAACGAGTTAACAGAGTTCTTAAGAACTTTCGATACGAAATGCACTTTCATTCTCAATTGATGATTCGTATTTTTGGAGGGCAGTGGCTTGGCTCTGCCTCTGGCATTGCTGAAGTCCATGGATAACGGTAACCACTCACCATCAGGCGGGCCGTATGGTTCGTCTGCCTACAAGGGCAATAAAAACTTTTTTATTTTATTAGCTTAACATTGGTTGAGGGACAAAGGCCCAAACGCAACTTAAGGGTCTGCTAATCGTGACCACTGGTGAGCACGCTTTGGATACTTAAGGCCGTCATACCTTGAGTCTCAGTTAACTTGTTTAGCGGCTCTTCAATCCTTCGAACAGAACGCAAAATTTAAATTCGTGTACCAACTCCAGTAACTTGGATATTATACGTATTCCATTCAAATTTATCCTAACCTAGGTTAACAATATCATAAATCATCAAACGTACTGTAGTTTTTGAAATAATTATAACGAGTTATGGCCAACGTATTATGTCAAAAATTTGTTTTATAGCTTTATTTATCCATTATCAAGCCATAGAATTTTTCCGACACAAAAACAAACCGGTATAGTCTAGTAATTAAATTAGCATTCATTAAGCCTACGCCTACACAATCATAATAATATGTTATCTTCACACTCTTCAATATCAGCTGGGTTTTTTTTCCAACATGACACGTGTTTTTTGACAAACGGATTATCACTAATGGCTAAGAATATAATAGTGTATTCAAAATAGACTGACAACATGTGATTTGGAGAGTTGCTACATGAATATTTAAAAATACTCGTGGTTTTATGTACTATCTATGAACGTAATTAGAACAGTTTGGAACCGAAAACGAAGACTAAAAAAGAGACTAGCGAAAGACTATGTACAATAGCGAAACAAATGAAAGAAAAAAGACTAAAATAAGGTGTTTCTAGTAGAGACTGAGATACGAGTACGATAATGACGTCATCAGGTTGATCGTGCCAGCGAATCGTTTTTATTTTGGGTCAGGAGGTAATCGTCGGACTTCCACCCTCCACTGGAGATGAAAGGCGGGGCATGTCGGAGTCGAACTTACTAAAACCCCCTGTCGCTCAACAACCCACGTCCGAACCTCGCATGCCACAAAGCCCATGAAAAGGCAAAGGGGGGATACTTAAGTTTTTAGTTCGGAGCACATCCCTCTCATAATTCTCCCCCTCGGGACCGACGGTCGTTGGCGCCACGACCGCCAGCCCTCTAGGTCGGCAGGCTGTCCGAAGCCCGCCTATATGGCGCCGGTTAGAGTGGTTGTGCCTACCGAATACCCCGCTGGGTCAGAACCATCGTGCAGCTTGTACGTCATCTTCTAAGCCCCCCCCTCGCCGGTCCCCAGACCGACATGTGAGGGGGACCCGAAAAATATAGGGGACCAGGGCTTGTGCGAGATCCGCCTCCCTGGCCCCCGCTCGACGGCGGCGGGCTTGTGCCTCTCTCACGCGCCCCGCCGCCTCCTTCTACGAGATGGTGCACCCGCAGAAGTCGAGCATCGCCTTCCACGACTTGTCGCCGCCCAGCATCGATGCCTGCTATTTTTGCTATGAGGTCACGACGTTACCCCTCGCATACGCGGCAGACGACGAGCTTATGCTTCGACGACGAGCTTATGCTTCGCCGTATCCAAGTCGCAACCTGTCAACGAATTTATGCTAAATATTTTCGTGTTCTCGACTGGCAGTAATAAAAATTAAGTGTCTACCGAGAAAGGTTAAAGGAAAGCCGATTATATATCTGTTGTTCCAAAAACGATAGGTTGGTTGTTTGGGAATGAAAAGAATGCGGAATTTGAAATCTAATGTGAATGTGTTAATGTTCACCTGAGAATGAAAATGTTATTTCGGATGTTTCTAGATAAAATAAATAAATAGTTTTGCTGTTTAATATTATATCCTTTTTAGTTGTAAATAAAATTTATTACGAAAATAAAAATCGCATATCACGAAGTTCTGTAACCTTCTAAAAGGACGTCAATAATTAAGTAGAACTATCTGAATATAAAATTGAAAATTATTGTCCGACTGCTAAATATTGAAAACAAAATATGTCACATAATTTATGGATATTATATGTTTAGAAGCTAATTTGAATAATTTGAATAAATAAACAAATCAACACAGCTGGCTGTAAGCAAAGTTCTGGTGTATTCTTGCGAAAATTAATAAGTTTCATTTTGGACATTAAATGAGTGTAGTACCTATAATAAACTTAAGCAAGGTTAAATAAATTGGTAACTAGCAAATGGTCAANAAATATGTCACATAATTTATGGATATTATATGTTTAGAAGCTAATTTGAATAATTTGAATAAATAAACAAATCAACACAGCTGGCTGTAAGCAAAGTTCTGGTGTATTCTTGCGAAAATTAATAAGTTTCATTTTGGACATTAAATGAGTGTAGTACCTATAATAAACTTAAGCAAGGTTAAATAAATTGGTAACTAGCAAATGGTCAAGACTACCGTTCATTAAAAATGTTATTCACTTGGCTTTCATCACTTAAAAACAGAGCTACTTTACTTAATCAGAGAAAGTTGTCACAAACTTTCCTATTTTACGTTTATCAGATTCACCTAATTTAATTGAAATAGTTTTGTAGTAAAAGAAACATGAGTTTTTGTTTTTTTGAAATTATTCCGGTTCTTAACGAAAAACGAAGCCAGCTTTGTGATGGCTGAAGTGATTTTGTTGATCTTCTTTTAACATCGACACTCATAAATTAAGCTCACAGCTTTGTTGTGTGGCTGTAGTGAGCTATGGAATATTTTTTATTGCAAAGTAATCATGAATTTTGTTTTCAAGGCTCCAAGGTTTCAATTTTATACGTGAAAGCTACCATTTTATGAGTTGGTTTTTAACTCGAACGTTTTACTAGTGTCCGGAATAAAATTTAGTTTTTGAAGTTATACTTCTTTAGGCGCGTTATGCAAAATTGATGAGAGTGAAATTTCACGATGCGCGCGCACCGTGACACAAAATTAACAGAATGAAGTTGCCCACTAAATCGCTCATTACAATAAGAGCGAAGTAACTTGGCGGGTCTGAATATAGCTGCAGGTGAACTT